CGAACATAATTTGAATCTTCCTTAAAAAGATCTTCACATTGATCTAATTCCTCTTCTTGCTCGTGTTCTAAATCTTTTACTTCATATTTTTCTTTATAATTAGTTATGAAATGACATTCACTCAGATATCTTATAATTAATTATGAAATGACATTCACTCAGATATCTTATAACATCCATTTTATAACATTCATCATATTTATCTTTTGTAGGATATTTCATTGATCTTGAAATGTTAAAAGTAACAGTTTGATCATTGACACACATTATTAATTCCTCTTTCTACATATCTATCATTGCTCTTCCTGTGGCTAGGAAATGTCTCCTCAAAATGATAGGTATCGAATGCTTGGACCTAAATCACATAAAGCTTTTCCATAAAATATGTTTGATCCACTTTGACTAGGACATCTTCTATAACTCCTTTAGGGTACGTTATTGAACTATCTGCTAACTGCAGAGTTACAGTAATAGGGGTTATTTCTCTTAATCCCAATCTTTTAAATATTGATAATGCCATAAGGTTAATGCTTGCACATAAATCACATAAAGCTTTCGCATAAAATATGTCTCCAGTTGCACATGGAATTGCAAAGCTACTAGAATCTTTAAGCTTTTCAGGAAGCTTTTTCTAAATAATAGAACTGCACTCCTCACTAAGTGCAACAGTCTCATTATCTTCAAACTTACTACAGATATATAATTATTATTCCCTTGGTTGTTCCAATTTCCCAATGGCCTCGGTTGTTCCCCCATTGCTGATTATTACCACCCGTAGTATTATTCCAGTTAAAATTGGGATGGTTCTTCTAACCTGGGCTATAATAATTTGAATATGGGTTATTCTGCTTGTTATTTATAGCATTCAAAGTTTCTAATGATGCTTGAGAATCTGTTTCAGTATTATTATGATGTGTTCCTTGGGATCTATTACTTAATGAATTTGCGATTTGTCCAAGTTGATTCTCAATATTTCTAATTATAGCTCCTTGAATTTGTAAATGATTTCCCATTTGTAACACCACTTATTCTATATATAACTTCTTCTCCTTAAATTGTGTATTATTGTTGAAACCTGGAGGATAAATAAATATATAATTATTATTCCCTTGGTTGTTCCAATTTCTCAATGGGTTTACTTAATTGCCTCGATTGTTCCCCCATTGCTGATTATTACCACCCGTAGTATTATTCCAGTTAAAATTGGGATGGTTGGGATGGTTCTTCTAACCTGGGTTTGAATATGGGTTATTCTGCTTGTTATTTATAGCATTCAAAGTTTCTAATGATGCTTGAGAATCTACCATTTGACCTAATGAATTATCTTCAATCATGGAGATTGGTTGAGAAAAATTCATTCCAAATTGGTGTAATTTCATTGAAATTGTAGCAACTTGATTTGTTAACATAGTAAATGCATCAGATTCATGAATATTGACTACTTTCTTTGGATTCACCTTCTCATAAGGCCATTGAAAATTTTTGGTAGTCATTTTTTCAATTAAAATATAAGCGACATGAAATCGTTTTGACATCAATAAACCACCAGCATCGACATCGATAATAGATCTAAGAGATCAAACTTATCCATTATAAAAAAGTTAATTTATTAATCAATCTGGTATAACGTAGTGTGGACACTTTCTTAAGAGTTCTTTAAATCGTTCTCATGATTCATAAATAGATTCCCCTTCAAACTGATTAAAAGATGTAGATTTAATATCATTTCTAAGCTTCACAGTTTTCGATGGTGGAAAATATTTAGCAAAGAATTTCTGTGCTAAATCACCCCAAGTTCTAATAGATCCAGATGCTAACAAATTCAACCACATCTTAGTTTTATCCTTCACTGAGAAAGGAAATAATCTAAGTCTTATGACATCATCTGATGCACCATCGTATTTAAATGTAACGCACAATTCTAGAAAATTGGCAAGATGTAAATTTAGATCTTCACAGTTGGTGATCCCCCAAACTGATTATTTGATATCATTTGGGTAATAGTAGTTTTAAGCTCAAATGAATTAGCCACCACATTAGGTTTTTGAATACTACAATGAAGTTCATCTACCGTAGAGTTGACATAATCTCTTAATGGTCTACATTTTTTATGAATTTTAGTTTTTTTGATTATTTTGAACTGTCATTTTTGTATTTTATTTAGATTTTTCAAAAATTTTAATTTTTTTGTTTTTTTAATTTTTTTAACAGTTTTTTCTAATTCAGAATAATAGGACACTAGTCCTTCAGAATTTGAACTACGCATACACTAACCTAAAATAAAAATAAAATAAAACACATAAAACAAAATACAATAATTGTTAAATTTGGCTATAAAAGTGCAAGATTTGAAAATCATTTGAACCTCCAATTAATGCCCTAAAGATTTTAATCATGCATCAAGTGATTGATTTAAACTCATTTGAGATTCAACTGTATTTTTTGTAACGTTTGATGACTTTTAAATGATTCTGTTTATCCCCTAAAATATCCTCAAGTAAAGTTATTTGTTCTTTCATATCTCACAATTAAGCTTTCACATTTACATTGTATGTAAATGCCCAAATGATTTATACATTAAACACTTCAAAGACGACCCAGCCATTCGTTAAATTTAGACAAAATAAATCATTCGAGAACACACATGAATCAGAAGTGCGTCAGCGCCAGGCTCCCTATAAACACCGCCTCACACCCCGGCAGCCACGAAAAAAAAATACATCAGTACGACTGCTTCACTCCAACATCAATCACATGGCTCGCCGCGGCCTCCTCCGCGGCTTCCTCCATGCCTTCAAACACCTCTTACACGTTTTCCACTTCTTCCACTCCTTCCACCTCCTCCTCCACTTCTTCCCCTTCTTCTTCAGCTTCAACTGAACCCTCCACCACTCCAACGTCACATGGCTCTCCGCAACCTCCTCGCCGCCATCCTCCTCTTCTCCGCCGTCGTAGCCGCCGTCGCCAGCTTCGAGGATGAGAACATTATCCAGCCAGCACGAACCGGTTCGGGTCGATCGAGCCGGCGATCCTCCACGCCATTGGAAACACCCGTCACGCCTTCCGCTTCGCCCATCGGTAAGTCGATCATACTTCGTCTTCCTCTGAACCCATTCTGATTTGATGATCGCCCGCAGGTATGGGAAGAACTACCGATCGGTGGAGGAAATCAGGAGAAGGTTTGAGATCTTCGTGGAGAATTTGCAGCTTATACAATCCAGCAATCGGAAGGGACTCAAGCACACCCTCGGCATCAATCGTTGAGTTTTTTAATTTTTCTGTTTTTGCTATTTTTATTGTAGATTTATGTTGGCGGTTGGATTAGGTTTTGCGGACATGACCTGGGAGGAGTTCAAGGCGAGCAGACTAGGAGCGGCCCAAAACTGCTCGGCGACGCTTAAGGGGAATCATAAGATGACTGACACTGCGCTTCCGGAGACGGTATGTTTCGTGTCGGATCGTGCTGAACCG